CACACACACACACACACACACACACACACACACACACACAGGCACACGCAGAAATACATTTAACCTAAATAGGATTCCGATGGCTTTGCGGTGTAATGCGTCACGTTTCACAGATGAGATCACAGCCAAACCACATTAATTGAGATTGTACATGTTTCAGAGTATTTCTGAAATTTGGATTATCCAGGCTTACAATATTTTCAAACACAGATCTATTTATCCAGACCTCTTTAGAATGGATGTAATTACACTTTATTCAGCAGCTCATAAAACATGTGCATATCTTGAATTTTAAAGTTAATCTTTGGCAGTTTTGCAAAAGGGCAYCCCAAAAAACCTGGCATTTTGAGGTGAAAAGTCATATTTGCTTAYACACATCTAAACACCTATACATCATCTAACGTTAAAACCAACGAAAGAAACAACGTTCTTCATTTGTCTGTGTCTGTTGTGCAGAAAGTAAACTGAGCCCTTTTACAGTGAAATGCAKGATTGTATTTGGGGATTGTAAAATTAAATTAAATGCTAACATGCATGCGACGAAGGAATAAGTCTACCTGTACCAGGTTTACACAAAATTTTCTTCTAATTTCTTAGATTTGGGTTGTATTAGTCATAGTCCGGTTTGGACTARTTGTTAGCTTAGATAGCTAAATATGTTAATTCAATGTTGAATTATGGTCAAAAAAGTTGATTTTTGGTTAAGGACGACAATCAAATCAAACCATTATCCAATTGTAGCCAAATAACCAATGTTGAAAACATGTTATTGAATCAATGTTTCATGGTCGAATTCTAACAATTGAAATGCCAACATAYAATCAATGTTGAATCAACATTRATATAGTATCATTCATGATTTAAAATCTAACATTGTTTCAACAAGTAATTCACCGATCACTTTTTGAATAATTTTAACGTGGATTCAATATCAYGGCTAACCATATTTCAGTGTTGATTCACCCATATTTTACTATCTGGGAGCTCATCAGTCTGGTCAGAAACRAACTATTTCTCAAAACTGAGATTGTTCAAAGAGCTATCTACAACAGATAAAATTKTATGTAATCATACACTTTACATCAAACCCAATATTGTAAGGTTTAAAATAAGGAATGTTWACCATCGTTACTTTTTCTCTTCCAGTAAAAGTCACAGTAACAAAACAAAAACGTTTTAGAGTAAAAGACGTGTTTCCTTCAGAACATAAAATAAAACAGTTAAACAGACATGAATGAAATGGTTTACTTTGAGCAGTATAGTGGCTGCTTGTCAGAGCCAGTCCCCCTCACAAGGAGTCCTTCKACTTAAACTAAATATAAACTCCCAAAGCCAGTAAACAGATTCTGTTTTTACAACCTCACTATTAACCTGCCTAATGGGTGGAGACTTTAAACTGGCCCTTTGTTTCACATCAGCACAACAAGATGGGGACAAAAACTGACATCATCTCTGAGTGTATTAAAAGAACTCACCTTTGTCCTTACTCTTTTCTTTTGCAAGAGAGTCCAGCTTTCTTCTCAGAGACTTTTTCCTCTTTTGTCCATCTGTGCCCAGAAAAAAGAAGAAAAAAAAAGAAGGAAATAAATCATGTGAAACAAATGGTTCCCATATCGGCTGTTTCTTATCTGGCATTTTTATATGTAATAAGCTCATGTCAAGAATGTAGAAATAAATTAAACACGGGGGAAAGTTGTGCATGGAAACCATTTCAATGAATGGTCAGGTCAGATTTAGTGGCAGCCGCCACAACAACCACTATCAAAACACACTTAGTTGTGTTTGTTATCCAAACTGTTCAGTGTATTTTTTTTAATAATGTGAAATATTTCATTTTGCAGTGCCTAAAAATGGTAACCATAAAGTTGCCTGGTTTCCTTTTCCAATCCCTTCTGTTTACTCATTAAAAATGACAAAAATACACCTACTGAAAAAGAACATGCCAAAATTCAACAAGTCAGCTGAGTTGCTGCAAACTATATGCATTACTTAAAAAATGTGTGTTTGCCGAGAGGAAGTGTCTTTGTCAGAGATAAATGACTCTTGGATCTGCTGATTAACAGACAGGAAACTGGAAATTGTGGCACATGGAACCGTCAAGTCTTGAGACATTTCTTCTGTTTGTTGAAACCTCAGCAACTTCTTAGCAACCTTGACAAACACAGAAATGACTACAATTTAATCACTTYTACACATATCAAGCTAACATTTGGTGAAGTAGTAGCTCGCACTTGTCAACAACTCAGACACGGACAGCGAACAGAAGATGCTAAACTTCTTTTAAAAACTTTTCTAAAAATGTATATGTTAAAGCTGTCCCTACGTCCTAACAGTAGAATATGAGACACATAATCTGTGAAMCAATCAAGCTTCTTTGACTCCTTCCAGTGGTACTACAGCCGTTTGCAGAAATGCACTGCTTTCAGTCAGAAACAGCCAATCAGAGCCAGCAGGATCATCTTACCAGTGTCAATCACATTGTGTACGTACTGCTCACAGCCTACCTCCACACAGTGCGAACCCTCGTTTAAACTCAAGATTGCCATGTGCTGCAGCTGTGCTAATGGAGGAGGAACAACCTAACGTTACAGGAAAACGKCYAATTTCTGAGAGCTCTGAATGTGTCATGGCTGTTTTTCCACCCTCATTGGTGGCCCTACTGCTCAATAGACTGTACAGTCACAGCAGRCTCCATTGTGGAGGGAGGACTGTAGCGCACCATCAAAGTCAACTTTATCTATTTGTGAGCAAAATTTTCAACAAAACACTGAATGTATTTACAAGGAAACGTTTAGCAAAAAACATTTGATGCTCCTCTATTTCTGATTAATTTTTGGAGTCACATGGAACAGCCAGCTGTCCTTAAAAAAACACAAAGATGGCTATAATATGATAGGCTATATACTGTACTGTATATGGCTACCCCCTACAGCACCGGTGAACATCCAGGGAAAAGACATTGAGACAGTGGACTCTTACAAGTACCTGGATGTTCACTTCAACAGCAAGATGGACTGGACTACGAACACAGACATCTTGTATAAGATGGGCCAGAGTCGACTCCACCTACTGAGGAGGCTGAGGTCCTTCGGTGTCTGCAGGACTCTGTTAAAGACATTCTATGACACGGTGGTAGCATCTGCCCTTTTCWATGGGGTGGTCTGCTAGGGGKCTGGAGGTACTGAAAGGGACAKGAACAGGATGGACAAACTGGTACTGAGGTCAAGCTCTGTGCTGGGATGTCCTCTGGAGCCTGTGGTAGTGGTGGGTGAGAGGAGGATGTTGGCAAAGCTGACAGCCATCATGGACAACCCCCACCACACTCTGCAGGAACATGAAACCATGGGGGGCTGAGCAGCTCCTTCAGTCAGAGACTTAAACATCCTCGCTGCAGGATGGAGCGCTTCTGTAGGTCGTTCATTCCAACTGCAGTTAGACTGTTTAACACATGATGTTATCAGTCACTTGGACAATTCACCTACACTGCCATCACTAATATGCACCTTCATATACATTCATATTTGTTCTGTACTTTACGGTGTATATATGTATATAAATACGCATACGTTTATGTATATGTGTATATTTGCATTGGTATATGTACATTACTATCACATGTGTATATTGTGGGGTAGTTTTTGTTTGTTATCTTTTATTTACCTTTCATTATTCTTCTCAGCCTCTCCTGTATTAAGCTGCAGTAATGTGCGAATTTCCACACTGTGGAATCAATAAAGTTTTAACTTATCTCATCTAATCTTATCTTATTTTATCTTATCTTATAACTTAGTTTGTTTTATAGGTACTACACAAAGATTTTGTGCAGTAGTAGCTAACTGTCATYCCCAACGCATACGTGAATCACTAGTYATGRTGTGAAATGTTTGTTTTAAACATTRCCATTTATTTGTTTGCCTCAGACTTGTTTATCTGTTCACAAAATATCTTATTAACATTGGACCAACTTGAATCAAACAAAAAGTAATCATAGATGTACATCCACAAACTGATTACTTTTGGAGTCGCTTCATTTCCAGATGGCTGCTGCTGTAACTGGTGGAACACAACACAATAACGAATGAAACTTGTTTTTTTTATTATTTAATGCGGTGGTAGCCRAGAATTATTCCAAATACAGTTTTTGAGCACTAACACAAACTTTTCAATATTTCTTAAAATGATGCAATGAGTAATTTGCATCATCATAAGTCTAGAACGCTGGAATGAAACATGCAAGACAATAAGCATTGCTATAAAAATATTCTAGGYCAATAATTTGAATTTATGTTTTTTGACTTGATCTGCTGATTTTAAAGCCCCAAATTTCAACCCCAGGTGATTKTTTCAGTTATTGATCATTGCAAGTCAACTATTTTTTTAAAAGTTTGTTTGAGCAGTAAGGTGGTGTATGAGAGACACAGTAACAGAAGAAACTGTGAGGATGGGGTCCAAGATATGAGCAGAAAGAAAAGCAGATGTTGGGATGGAGAAAGAGGGAGAGTCAGGATGAGATAGGAAATGGTTTGGATTTTTGTCAGATGGCTCCCAAAGCCATACGGAAATCCCCCAAACCTCCACACTCCTCAGTTCAGCTCTGGATCGGTTTGTGACACCATCCAAACAATCTTTTCTGCTTTTCTGTCCCATCACACCCATCCCTCCTTGTCCCTCTTTAATCTGCTTCTTGTTCTTGAAAAAATGCCAGAAACCTGAGGCCCCCCTGACACTTGGATAAATATTTTTTTAGAGCTGAAAAGCAACGCTTTCGCTCAAATAGCACTCGCAGATGCTCTCACACTCGTGCATTTGAAATATTTCCTTTGCTAGCACATGGCAGCCGTCACAGGCCCTGGAATTCATAAGCAACACAGACAAGTACGTCTTAAATCATGGAAGGGAGAGATTTAACCTTCAGTTGGAATGCAAGGAGCTGAATAATCCATTGGCTGCACTACACTGCTGCTATGGCACCCACTCCACTACAGTGTAGTGGAACAAACACAGGCTTCACTGTGCATGATGGTGGTTTGTGWGAGCACGGACTGACTACAGTGAAGGCAAGACATCATCTCAGTTGGAAAGTTGACGTAAAGTGGGTAAATTATTGTTAAAATACAATTTAGTTTTGACTACTATTTTTACCCACCTAAACCAAACATTTGTTAAAGTTAAGCGTCAGAGGTTTTCGTGTCTTATGCACAAGTTTTCGGGTTTAACTCCAGCCTATAGGTGGTGATAATGACATGGTTTGTCAAACTTTTTTTTTCAAAGCCAATGAAGAAAAACTTGAAATTGCAACAAAGTTTTCAAATGTGTCTATTGATTCCACTAGAATGTGCAGGTCATACAGTATGTGTAGCACAGAGAACTTTAAATATAAGTGAGTTTCAAGCATAAGGATCAAGTGTATCATAAGACAAGTTAAGGCCACTTTTTATGGATATATGATATACTAAAACAGCTTAGATGTAGTTTGACATTCTTCCACATTATACACCAAACTTAGGGTGTCAACTATATGTTCACCACGCTAGCCCAATCACCAGGATGGTGATGTATTATGCATTTATCCGCAACTTTTTACCTTGAAAATATATTCTACCTTTTAGAAAATTATATGCCTTCTGTGCACATAGTGCAATATTAAATTTAGAAAATCCTGTTTTGTAATACTTAACAACAACAAGGATCATCGTTCTTGATAACTCTGTTTTCTATTCCTGGTTAATGATAGCAWGTAAATGGTAAAAGCTTGTCTCATTTACTTGTCCCCTTTTCCTCCACACCCTACAGTAGCACAGAAATGATGATCTATTGTTTGTCCTTCATGTCAAACAGGAAGTTTGCTTACGTCTATTGAAAGCACCCTGATTTTTTGTGTCTTTTTTGGTCTTTGATTAATACATAACCCAACTGTGGAAACGTTTTTCTCCACGCACAGTATTTCCTTTAAAAAGTGTTTTTGATTCTCTGCTTGCAATTTAATGTTCAGTCTTCTGTTTGATGTTTCAAGCACCACCTTTGCACTGAGAGAATTGTTTTTGAACACACTGCYGTTGGCACGCATGTTCATTCCATCAGCAGCAGATCTGGTGAAACTTTGCAGACCAGTATGAATAACAAAATTTGTTGCACAGACATCACAGTCCAGTTGAAATTTCATCACTGGATGAGGAATCATGWATTTCATCTAAGAATTACCACTAATGCGAAAAAAATCACAAAACAAAAAGAACTAAGTCAACAAAGTCAATGCACCTTTAATGGAGGCTGAGAACCACAGAAGACTTAAAAGCAAAAACTCTACCTTTAGTACATAGTATTTAAGAGTCTATTCACACCTGTCACATTTGGTCCAACAGACCAGAGTTTGTTTCCCCTGTTGGTCCGAACCTTTCATGCAGGTGTGAATACACTGATGTGAATTCTAGTGTGGACCAAACAACTGTACCGCGACCCATTTTTTAGGTGGTACCGATACCAAGTAGCGGGGTTTGTGTGGATTATCTGTTCAACTTGTTGAATATTAAACAGAATGAAAATGAAATGCAATTATCATGCAAAAACTGATGGGTAAATATCATGTTTGACAATAAAAAAAGGTAGTGCAAACTCTGACAAGTAGATAAGTTGATCACACCATAACTTTTGAAACATTTATTTTATTTCAAACAGGTCTCTTTTTTATAAGGCCACACTCCCTCTGAATGTATTAACAATACAAATACTGCAAAACAAATGCTGTTGCATACATTAAAAAACAAAATAAGTTATTTTTATACATTTTCCTCAACATGCAACTACCAAATTTAAATTAAAATGTAAACTATAACGTAAATTTTAGCAGCACATCTATAGAAGTTTACTCTGCTTATGTCTTAAACTGTTAACAAAAGATGACTAATAGTAATAAAGTGCAGTAAATTTCAGTTCAAACTTAAATGGAACAACTAAAACAAAATCTCAGAAGAACCACAGTGAAAAATAAAATGGTTTTACAACAAACTTCCTTCCATATTCTGCTCATGTCTTAGTTTGTTCTACAAGAAAGAAAAAACAGCATTGAAGTTACTGCAACAACAGTGCTGTTTATGAAGGCTACTGCTAGCAGCAGCAAACTCTTTGAATTCTTTGTCATGTCTTGTCCTCAAATGTTGAATCAAATTGCTCCTCCCCCTGACAGTTTAGCAGAGCACAGCAGACAGTCTGCTTGTTTGGTGTCCTCCGTGCCGATCTTTAATATCTCCAAACTGCCGATATGTTACTTCTTCTACCGTCATCCTTCTTCTTCTGTTATTCGGGGGTGTGGTCGGAAATAACTTGTGAGTGCATTAGCGCCACCGCCTGGTATGGATTGTTGTTTACCCTTTGTGCTGCAGCGCAGCACAGGAGGAACAAAAAAGGGGACAAAAGCTGTATCGGTTAAGAGTATCGGCCGGCTTTTACGAGTACAAGTATGAGTACTTGATGCTGGTATCGGACCCGATACCAGTATCAGTATCGGGACACCCCTAATAATAATAATAATAAGCTGTTTTTGAAATTCTAATTGGTTTTGCAGTTGTATTAACAGCACCATCTTTCTTTCTGGGTCTTTGCTCTGTCCCACCAAATTAATTTCTGTCCAGTGCGAGCAATGATTGTAATCCCCATTGCTTTGTTTATAAATCACAGTCCACATCGAAAAAAAGGACAGTGTGAATGCAGACCGTACCAAATGAAAAAAAAATGTCCGATTTTGGTCTGGACCAAACAAGTGGACCACAGGATCCTGGTGTGAATACACCCTAAATGTTTGTTGATGCACCACTCTGTTGCATGTTCACCCAATTAGAGATGAGTGGGTCTTTCTGAAAGGTTACCTCAAAGAGAGGAGCTAAAACATTACATTTCAGAATGTAAGGTGTCACTATAGTGTTCACTATTAARATTGTTGATGTTTTGTAAGTGTCAAAAATTGCTCTGTTGCAGTAAAACATTTTAAAATCGTAAAATGAGCACTGTAAAGCCTTTCAACCTACTTGAATTTATGGCTGCACAATAGTGGGGGGAACAAATATTGACAATGCAATTTTATGTATGCAACATCAGTGTAAAGGAGTGTTTGCCCTGCAGTAAATCAAAGGCTTTTATATTTTAAGTGCCATACTGTACACTCATGTTTTGCAYGCCTGCAATATATTTGGTCGATACGACCGACTCCCGCTGCCTTTTATGCCCACATCTGGTGGCTTAGACATTGGAAAGTGGTTTTAACACTGTGATGACAGAAGAGGAGAGAAAGGGGAGAAAATGTGTTTATTTGAAGTGATATTGTCATCACAACAATCAACAGCAGCATCACAATTGCATAATGTGCAGCCTGACTGTAACGTCAAATAAGTCCATCTCTGGAAATATATTACAGTCCTCTCATTTAAGACCTACTTTTTGCAATCTAAAGTAAAAGTGATTGAGGGCTGATATTAGTGTGGTTACCTCTTTCATTTCCATTGAGCAGAATCATGAACCACCTCCACCCCAGTTCAACATGGGTGACATCAGTGAAASTGTTTCTTTGCTTCAGTTTTCTACTCTAGTGTGTTGGATTTGGATGTATCATTTTATTTGTTTGAAATGTTTTCTAAATTTAGCTCATTCTTTTGGTTTAGGGGAGCAAAATATCATTAACACCATCAGCTCAAAAAAGCTCAACAAGATAAACCCTGCCTCTTCCCAAAAATTTAGGACTTTTAAGTAGTCCACATGGGGACTCCACCCAGCCATGGCTGCAGAGGAACAGAGTCATGTGTCACAATGAGGAGGGTCAAAAGATACCATGTCAAACAGGAAGCACCCTATTCCTCATGTGGAGTGTGGTTTACAACAAAATGCGTGTGTCAAAACAGTTTCAAACATAAACCATATGCAACTTTTCTTAAAATACACTGAAGGCTTGTCAAGAGGATGTGGTCAGAGGCTCACTTGAAAGTATTTGCACATGCTTCTACTGTAAACGGGGTTAAGAATATAAAACAAGTCATGCATGCAACATAAAATAGCTCAAGAGTTAATAACAGATGCATTCTCTCAGTTAAATGTTAGAGACTTGAAGTATGTTGAGTATCCCACCCATGTCGAGCTCCCAAACAAATACTTTATGAAACAGAGTATGACATGTCTCCAGATTTATTTAAAAGGAAAAAAAAACACTCTTTAAAATACCGCATTTCTCCTTCAGTCTTTCGCTCTAGAGTTTTAGACAAATAGCAATTTCTGCTTTACTTTCTGCAAGTTCCACTATAATCCATCTACTGGTTCATAAGATATTTTAGTAACAGACCCACATACATGAACAAAAACATCTTTCACCTTCTGTGGTGGGCAATAATAAAAACACATGCTCCCACCTTTTGGGATAGTTATCTGGCATCCCAAGTCAAACTCTTGAACCAAGCGGGTGTAGGCTACTTCCTGCAGCCTGGCTCTCTCCAACTCCGACAGGCTCTGGATGTTGACTGGGGTCAGACGTACACTCCGCCCTGACAGGCTGCTCCAGGTGAAATCTCCCTGGGGGGGGGGGCAAAGTGAGAGCTTAAACAAAGATGATGACAAAAAGCTGACATCAGATAACAGGTTATTAATGATACAGTATAAGTTTTATCCCTAATCACCATAACTTACTATTTATTCGTGTATAATATGATCCCATGTAAAAATCCAACCCCCCCGCTTTATTTTTGAGCTTAAAAAGCATAAAAAATTAAATCCTCAAGCTACTTCTAATTTCACATGGACTTCAGGATTTTTCAGCCTTTGCAGTAAAATCAGTTAAATGATCATTTGACTGTTGTAGTATCAGTTTTTTAAAATTATTTTATTTTAACAACATATGGACATAGGTATCCCTGCTCGCACTGTTTGCTGGATATGGACACCAGTGACCCCCGTGACCATGAAAGGAATAAGGGGGTACAGATAATGGATGGATGGATGGATGGATGGATGGATGGATGGATGGATGGATGTACTAAGGTATTTTGACACTAAATGGGAGTCAATTTTGATTCAGCTCTGTCACTAGATGAACACGTCAAAAATCTAGTTACCTCATGCTATTTTCAACTCAGTAACATTTCTAAACTTCGCCCCCTCCTGCCTGCCTCTGACCTGGAAATGGTAATCCATGCCTTTATCTCAGCCTGTCTTGACTACTGTAACAGCCTGTTCACCTGCTTAAATCAGAAACAAATAAACCGGCTCCAACTTGTACAAAACTCTGCCGCTAGACTTCTAACTAGAACATCCAAATTCTCTCACATCTCCCCTATATTATCAGACCACCACTGGCTACCTGAACAATTCAAACTCAAGTTCAAAATCCTGGTTCTCACTTTTAGAGCTCTACACGGCCAARCACCGAATTACATCTCCAGTCTTCTCTCGCCTTATAAACCCAGAAGTAACTCTGGCTCACAAGACCAGAATCATCTCTTGGTCCCCCACACCCGCTTCAAGATGTGTGGTGACTGTGGCTTTTCCTCAATGACTCCCAGACTGTGGAATGCCCTTCCGCCCTATCTAAGACCTCTTGATAACACTGACTCCTTTGAAAAAMGAATAAAAACACACCTTTTCACTCAAATATTCAACTGAATATATTCTACACCTCATAAGAGTTTATAAGCCCTGACTAACAAACATGTTATTCCGGTCTAGTATCCATCCCCTACACCTATAAGGGTGAGAGATAAATTTAACTCCTTTTTTGTTTTTTGTTTATTGAATGTATTGAATGTAATCTGTATAGTAATTGTGATATATTTGCTTTTTCATTCTGATAATGGATGTACAGCACCTTGTGAAATCCTTTTCTTTGAAAGGTGCTTTATAAATAAACTTTTACTTACTTACTTACTTACTTATTTACTTACTTACTTACTCACTTACTTACTAAATGTATTTCATCAAACTCTGATTTTTAGCTTTGTAGCAGCATCAAATGAATGCCAGTGTTTAGGATGATATGTTCATCACACAATTTAGTCAACAGAATGCACCAACAAAAAACACAAGATTTCACACGGGRTTTGTGCCGTCTTCTGCCTACTCACGAGTGCCCCCTTTAGTGGAGAAACATTTTTTGGGGGAAACCTACTGTTAACACCACACCAGTAAATGGGAGCCATTACAGACAAATGTGTGTTTGTTGTTGTTCCAGGAGAGGCTTSGTCGTACACTAATGTCATTAGTTTGTTATCATTACTACGTTATCATTACTAAGCTGCAGCGCTGATGTTTATTTATTTTTTTCATATCATCTCTGCCTGCCTGGGTCTGTTCCTACTTCACTCAGAGGCACGTTGGAGTGTCAGAGGTAAGCTCACTTCAACCAATTTTTCCGACTCAGTCTTGTTTCYAGACTCAGGCATTTTGTGAGTGAGGCTAATATTTCAGTTATATACAAGAAAATACATTAAAAAAACATCTGTGTATAGTACTACCCCCACTTTGTGGAAGGTTTTATGGACTTAATTTTTCCTATTCTTGCATTCGATTCGAGGCGATTCTGGTCCACCAGCCGGCATCTCAGGGGGGGAAAGCGGTTCGTCACCAACACTATCTATGGTGGGGATGGTGCGCTGCTGACCTCAACTCGGGACGTTGTGGGTCAGTGGCTGAAATACTTAGAAGACCTCCTCAATCCTACCGACACATCTTCCCATGAGGAAGCAGAGCCTGAGGACCCTGGGTCTTACTCTCCAATCTCTGGTGCCGAGGTCAYTGAGGTGATTAAAAAGCTCATCGGTRGCTGGGTGCCAGGGGWGGATGAGATTTGCCCAGAGTTCCTTAAGGCTCTGGATGTTGTGGGGTTGCGTTGGTTGATGCTACTCTACAATATTGCGTGGACATCGGGGGCAGTTCCCCTGGAYTGGCAGACCGGGGTGGTGGTCTCCCTATTTAAAAAAGTGGGACCACAGAGTGTGTTCCAACCATAKGGGGATCACAMTTCTGAGCCTCCCTGGTAAGGTCTTTTCAGGGGTCCTGGAAAGAAAGTCCATCGGATAGTCGAATCTCGGATTCAGGAAGAGCAGTGTGGTTTTCGTCCACCAGCTCTACACCCTCAGCAGGGTCCTGGAGGGTGCATGGGAGTTTGCACAACCAGTCTACATGTGTTTTGTGGACTTGGAGAAGGCGTTCGACCATATCCCTTGGGGACTCCTGAGGGAGTACTCTGGGAGTATRGGGTACCAGGCCCTTTGATACGGGCTGTTAGGTCCATGTACGACCGGTCCCAGAGCTTGGACCTCATTGCTGGTAGTAAGTCGGACTCGTTTCTGGTGAGAGTTGGACTCCGCCAAGGTTGCCCTTTGTCACTGATTCTGATCCAAACGTTTAAGGACAGAATTTCTAGGTGCAGCCAAGGTGTTGAGGGGATCMTTTTTGGTGACCTTAGGATCACATCTCTGCTTTTTGTGGATGATGTGGTCGWATTGGCTTCATCAGATTGGGATCTCCAGCTCTCACTGGAGCGGTTCCCAGCCGAGTGTGAAGCGGCCGGGATGATGATCAGTGCCTCCAAATCTGAGACCATGGTCTTGAGCCTGTAACAGGTCGGGTGCCTTCTCCRGGTTGGGAAGGAGGTCCTGCCCCAAGTGGAGGAGTTTAAGTATCTCCAGGTCTTGCTCATGAATGAGGGAGATAGACAGGCGAATTGGTGCTGCATCTGCATTGATGCGGGCGCTGTACCGGTCTGTTGTGGTGAGGCGGGAGCTGAGCCAGAAGGCAAAGCTCTCGGCTGACCCATCGGTCTATGTTCCTTCCCTCATCTATGGTCACGAGCTTTGGGTGGTGACCGAAAGAATGAGATCGTGGCTACAGGTGGCCAAAATGAGTTTCCTTCGCAGGGTGTCTGGGCTCTCTCTTAGAGATAGGGTGAGAAGCTCAGTCATCCGGGAGGGACTCAGAGTAGAGCCGCTGCTCCTCCATGTCGAGAGGAGCCAGTTGAGGTGGCTCAGGCATCTGGTTAGGATGCCTCCTGGACGCCTCCYTGGTGAGGTGTTCTGGGCACATCCCACTGGGAGGAGGCCCAGAGGAAGACCCAGAACACGCTGGAAGGACTATGTTTCTCGGCTGGCCTGGGAACGCCTTGTGATTCCCCCGGATAAGCTGGCCCAAGGTGCTGGGGAGAGGGAAGTCTGGGGGTCTCTCTGCTTAGGCTGCTGCCTCCGTGACCTGACCTCAGATAAGCGGAAGAAAGCGGACGCATGGACTTGCATAAATGCGGTCAGTAAAAAAGTCATCTAAGTAAAAGAAAAATCATCTTGTGCATTCTGACAGTTTTAATTTATAAAATAAAATAATTTAAGTTCTAAGGTTTTCACCTTTATCCTGAGATTCATGCAGATAAAGTTCTTCATGAGCAGAAATTTTATCAGACATCTTTTTTACAAAGTTAGCAGGTCTGCACCTTTGCCTCAAACTTTAGAGGTTTGTTTTCAACTTACTGTACATTGCTCCTTCGTATAAGACATTTGCTGCTTCATAACAGATTGTTGCAGTGGTGCGTATTAAATTTATTAGTTTAAATAGAGAGATGGTTCAGATTCACTTGTGGTCTGTGCAGCAATGTCAGAACAAGTGGCAGCTTGACAGCTCAGTGGTTAGCACTGATRYCTCACAGCAAAAAGGTCCTGGGTTCAATCTCCGGTTCAGAYCTGGGGTCTTTCTGTGCAGAGTTTGCATGATCTTCTCGTGGGTTTTCTCTGGGTACTCCAGGTTCTCCCACAGACCAAAAATGTAACACAATTGGCCTGGTTAGGTGGGTGATTTGTCTTTATGGGGTTCAGACAATATATTGAATCTAAAGTTCGGTTTGGCCCTGTGTGAATTGTAACTTTTCAATTAATGTGTAGTATTGTAATTTTGAATGCATAGAAAAATAAGATCCCCAAATAGCTCTAGCCTAATGTCCCACAAACCTCTTTAATCCTGCCCTGCGATTATGGACAAAATCTAGATTCATTGTTCCAAAGCTGTAAATTAAAAATATATAATCAGAACGATTTTTTAATATATATATATTTTTATAAAATGTAATTATTTTAATTTTCTACATTTAAGAATTCACATGTAAAAGCTTTTCTTTCTTTCTTTTTTTTCTAGTCCAAAATTTATGGCCTTGTTTTTTTAAATGAGTCATCCTTATAGACTCCTTGGACTGGCTGCTGAAGTTCAGTGAACCCTGAAAATTTGTAACATGTTTAAACAGTTATTTTTATTTGACTGTTTATTTCTTGTAATTCTGCAATTATATGTAATGGTTTTGAAAATTTCTTTCTGTCACAACAGGAAATAAAAACRAATTATAAATTGGTGCTGCATACACAGAAATAGAGGCAATGTGTGCCATGGAAAAAMAAAAGAACAGAGAAGTTTCCTGCTGTCTTTTAGGAGTATCTGAGGACATCCACTGAAGTGTTCTCGCACTGATGGATTTGAAATATGTGCACCATTGACGTACAAAACAGCATTTAAAGTGTTTAGCCCATGAGGGGTGGGTGGGGTTT